CATGAGACTGACATTGGCAACTGGAAGGATTGGGATTCTTTTCTTGACTTTTATTTTTTAAGACAGCAGGGGTTTCTCTATGTCCCTGGCTGTTCTGGAATTCTATAGACCAGGCTGAGCTGCTTCCTGACTGGATTAAAGGCCTGCACCCACACCACCTACTTGACTTGGGTTTGTTTTTAACAGCCCTGGAGCTTGCTGTGTAGTCCAGGTTGGCCCTGAACTCAGATCTACTTGTACCTGTCCCTGCCTCCTGAGTGCTGGGAATTCCCAGCTAAGACTGTTTTTAACACCACTTCTTTTTTACAGTAACTGTATGGATGGCTTGACTGCATGTTATGTCAGTTCACTAAGTGCAACAAGATGTTTGGATCCCCAGGAATCAGAGTTACAGATGGTTCTGGGACACCTGATGGGTGTTCAGACTAAAACCTGGGTCCACTGGAAGAGCAGCCAGTACTTAAACCACTGAGCCATCTCTGATTCCTACTACCATCAGGCTATACCTTAGGACACCTTAGCACTCAGGAGGCAGGCAGAAGATCTAAGTTTGATTCAGGCCAAGAGATCTACAAAGAGAACTAGTTAGGGATACACATTTAAAACTAAGTAAGAACAGCCTCGCTGGGTGGTGGTGGCACACGCCTTTAATCCCAGCACTCGGGAGGCAGAGGCAGGCGGATCTCTGTTCGAGGCCAGCCTGGGCTAACAAGTGAGTCCCAGGAAAGGGGCAAAGCTACACAGAGAAACCCTGTCTCGGGGAAGAAGAAAAAAAAAAAAAAAAAACAGCCTCTCCCCAACCTACCATACAAAGTCATTGTATGAATTAAAAATCTTGTATTGTCTGTTCAGACTCGTTTGGGGATTAGAAAGGTTTATCAGAAGTAGATCCATTTAATATCCATGAAATAAAGACAAATAATACAAAGTTTATTAACAAATAAATATACAAAATACACAGTACTCAACTGTGTCTTACAAAAAATTCACCCTCGTATATATGCAATACTATACAATACTTACAAGTATATATAAGACTCCCATCTGTATGCAATTCTCTGGTCGGTCTGTGTTCTTATCTTCAAGAGAAACCTCAACTGTGAACATGTCACCATTAAGCCTCTTTCTGGATTTTAATCTTAATGGATTTTAGTCACATTTACTGCCGAGAGACTCAAGCTGGTAGGATAATGCTGGAGGACAGGAACTCTCAGTAAAGTGCAGTTTTAGGCAACCCAACCCCAGTTTTCCTTTAAACGGGTATCCACAGTCCATAAGGACTTTTTTTCTTATCTATTTTTGGTGATCCTGATGATGTCTCTTCAGCAGCAGCTTTAGCTGTTTTCTGTAATGGTTTTGCTATGGAATTCTGTAAGACAATAAATTAAAAGTCAACTTCCCAGATTATCAGGACAAAAAAGTTTAAAAAAAAAAAAAAGCTTACACAGTAAAATAACACCCCAGATCCATTGTCAAGAATGACGTTTGGACACACTTACATTGGAGCTGAAGGCTATGTTTTTCTGTGCGGAAGATTTTTCACTGGGATTTTTACCTCCATCTTCAGTTTGCTTTTCTGAATGCTAGAGAGGCAGAGAATTTTAAACATAGCCTTAGTTTTTTGAATATTGTATAAAAAGCAGCCCACTGCACACAAATGTAGCTGTAGACACACAAACCAAATTCCACCTACTGCCACAGTTAACAAGCTAGACAACAAAAAAAAAACTTGTTTCCACTTAACAATATTGATTCAGAGAGAAGTAGACACAACACAGTTCCCCATGAATACCTGATTCCTGCTTTGGATATAAGGTTTTTTTTTTTGGTCTGTTCGAGACAGGGTTTCTCTGTGTAGTTTTGGTGCCTGTCCTGGATCTCGCTCTGTAGACCAGGCTGGCCTCAACTCAGAGGTCTGAGTGGCTCTGCCCCTCCCGGAATGCTGGGATTAAAGGCGTGGGCCACTGCCACCACCACCTGGCTACAACTCATTTTTGAGTTAAGTGCAATAGAAAATGCTTTGTCAAAATAACAAGAGGCATATAAGAAAGGTGCCCCAATCATCTCAAGAAGAAACTCTTAAGCACTTGCCTAAGCAAATAGTAGGCAAACCCTAAGGTCACAGCAATTCAAACTATTTCATTGTACTACTTTTACCTTAAATTTCCACAAAGCAAATTTTTGAGATCCCTGGCTGGCCTTTTGATTCCTTATGTAGCCAAGGATGACCTTGAACAATCCTGTCTTCCAGTGCTAGGATCACAGGTATGGGGCACTAAACCCAGTTTACAGCTGGGAACAACAACCCCAGGTGTTGTGCACCCTAGAGCAACTGAACTACAATATTCCCAGACCAAATTATCAATTTTAAGATTCAGGTTTTGCATTAAATTATAAGTACAGTGCAATGTGCCAATGCACATCTTTTGTAATTCTGGAGAATTATAATAAACTTATCTGCAAGTGAAGCAGGCCTCTTCTTCTGTAATCTCTCAAAACATCTGGAATATATTGCATATATTATGAACGGGACATCTAGATCACAGATGCCCCACCATTACACAGTGTATCTAGACTGAATTGTCAAACTGCCTTACACAAAGAGCCCTAGCCCAAAACTCTAACATGCACATGGACTACCTTCAACAAAAACTAAACTTCAGTCTGAACATAAACTCTGGCCATTTTAACCCATGATCAATTACCAACAGATTTTCTTCATCATTGTCTGGAGACCACATTCATGATTTCTATAAGACAGAAATAAAGCAGATAAACTATACTGTATACTGAGCAGACGTTTGGGAACATAATGCTGTAAATGAAAGCTACTGATAGAGCGCTCCAGTCTCTAAAGACTAGAAAGAGTAAGAAAAAGACAAAGTAATATAGTCAATAATATAGTCAGTGGTTTTACTGTTATGGAAAAACAAACCAAGTGTCAGAATGAAAGCAAGTTCATCATCTCCCAGTTTCCTAGGGGATGGTCTAGTCTTTGTCAGATTAAGGTTAGTTTTGTTCTGGGCAAATGATATAAGACGTCCCAGGAGGGCTGTCTATGGTAAACTGACAGAGGATAATGCAGGCGTAGCCTTCTGAAGATACTTACCTCCATCTTTGTGCCACTGCTAGAAACAGCTGCTCCCTGGCTTGTTTCCTTGGCTGCAGTTCGGAGACTGGCTGGCAAGTCAAAGTTGGCTGTTCCTAGAGCTTTTGCTGCATTGGCTTTTGCTATTTCTAGCAGCTCCATTCGATCTAAGGACATTAAGACATTCATTACTCTCCAAGTCTCCCTAAGGCTCAAAATAATGTGCCCCTCCCTTCTGTCGTTCTTCCCCCAACCCCCGCCGCCCAGGGTTTTTTGAGACAGGGTTTCTGTTTAACAGTCCTGGTTTTCCCTGAACTCACTCTGTAGACCAGGCTGGCCTCAAACTCCAGAAATCCACCTGCCTCTGCCTCCCAAGTGCTGGGATTAAAACCACTCCCCATTTTTCTGTACAGCCCTGGCTGTCCTGGAATTCATAGATCCCCTTGCATCTAGAGTGCTGGGATTAAAGACCTGCACCACCACCGACAGGCTACAGTTTTGTTCTAACAGCATTTTTTCTTAACTTTTACCTGACAGAAAGAAAAAGCAGGCAAAATGCATAGCTTTTTTCCCCCAGTAAATCGCATTTAAAAAAAAAGTTCTTCCCACCTTAAACTAAGTAATTAACATTTTAAAGGCTGTATTAAAACCACCGGCGAGAAGGATAGTGAGACTCCTTTGGCACCAAAAGTAAATACCCTGGAAGAGCGCCCGAGAGCGGTGCAGTCTACCTAGCTTGTTAAGAGGTCCCGGTTTAATCTTACCAAACCTAACTAAACCACACCCTGGCCGACTCAACCCGGCGCGGTGGAAAAGACATACAGGGAGGGCGGGGGGAGGTGGCTCGTCTGACGGTGTCCTGAATTCAACGCCCAGGACCCCAAGGAAGTGACACCGAGACCCACCTTTCTCAGTTAGGCGAAAGGGGGTCCTGCTCCTGCTGCGCGACCTGCTTCTGGACCTCCACCTGGGGCGATCCTCGGGGTACACCGTGCGCCCGAAGCCGTAGTAGCGCCGCCCGCGCGTGATGGCGTAGTACGACCTCCGGTGATACGAGCGCCCGCGGGAGCGCGACCTGCTCCGGGAGCGGTAGGGCGACGGCGACGGGTCGTACCTCCGCGGCCGCCCGGAGCGGCTGTCCCGGTGGTAGCGGCGGCCGCGGGAGCGGGAGCGGCTGCGTGAGTACGACCGCGAGTAGCGCCTGTACTTGCGCTGATGGCGCCTGCGGGACCGGGACCGGGACCGCGACCGCCTGCTCCGCCGCGGCCGGCTGCGGCTGCGCGACGACGAGCGGCTGGAGCTGCGGGAGCCGGGCCCGGAGCTGCGGGACGAAGAGCGGCTGCGGGAGCGCGACGACAGGCGGCTGGAGCGGCCCGAGCCCGCGCTGGACGGCGACGCTTTCTCCTGCGGGGAGCCGGGCCACATATCGTTCACGTACTTGGACATGGCGGCCGAGGACATGACTTCCTCCCTCGGAATCGGGCTCCTTCCGCAAACGCGGCGGCGGCGGCGGCGTCTAGGAACTACGGCAAAGGGCAAGGGTCAGGCCCGGAGGCGGGAGCGCGCCGTGCGCATGCGCGGAGAGACAAGGGCGCGCCCCTCCCCCCACGCCCTCCCCCACCGCGCCCCCCGACTCACCTCAAAGCGATGACGTGCTCGCACAGGCGAGAGGAAAGCCTAGCGGACACCTCCCTGTCGGACCACAGACCCAAGGCGGCGGGAGCCTCGTCTCGATCGGCTGAGGACGACAGCAACCTCCACCTCCGAAGTCCGGACGCGAACTGAACACACTGAGGACGTCAGCGTCGAAAATACCAGAACCGAGAGCGGAGCCTGCGCACAAACACCAGCGCGGCGGGGCGGGCTCTGCTCTCGTCCAATCGCCACTCGACACTCGCGCTCCGCCGGTTGCCTCGGGCTACGCCCTCGATACGCGCATGCGCGTCGGAGGCCGTCGCGCCACCCCGCCCCCACCCCACTTCCTCCCGGCCTTCTACATCCGGGTATTTTGAGGATTTGTTGTTTTTCAGGGATTTTTGTTTGTAGGGTGGATAATTGGTTGGTTTTGGGCTTTGATTTTTTGAGGCAGGAACTAGCTATGGTAGCTCAGTCAGGCCTCAAACTCGCAGCAATTCTCCTGTCTCTGCTGCCCTAGTACTAGGATTACCGGCCTGTGCCGCCACGCCCACCTCTGTTTTCCTTTGTTCTTTTGGGTTTTTTACTTTTTTTTTTTAACTTCCTCTTTTCGATCTTGAATTTGGGGGGAAAGGCGAGGTCGCAGATAATTTAGCGGGCTCAACTGGCGCATCAGGGGCACGGAAGACCACGGCGACCCGCCCAACGCCCTTCCCCGGAGCAGCTGCGACCTAGCTGTCCGGGAGCTTGGGAGGGGACATCACATGGCCGGGAAAATGCAGTTTTAATATGGAAAGGGTGCTTTAACTTCCTTATTTGAGCTAGTAAAGGTAATTGGAGTCGAGACAGAAATTCCAAGACGACTGCATTCTTACTTTGAGGAGTAAGAATGATGATAGATCTGTTTTATATATATATATATAAATTGTGTGTTCCTGGTGCATGTGCAACGTGTTGGGTGATGGAGCCCACAGAGGTCAGAAGAGAAGTCAGATCACTTGGAACCAGTTACAGGCGGTTGTGGGCAACAAGCTTCGGGTTCTGGGACCTCAGCTCTGTAACACAGCAAAAGCCTTCTTAATAATGAGCCGTTTCTGCAGCCTAATACGTCTGTCCTAAGAAAAATGTGATTAGCGCAGGACCTTTAAACTTATTTCCAGGACAGATCCCAAACATTCATCGTCATAAAGCATAACAGTGACCTTGAAAATGGTAGGTAGCCGGGCGGTGGTGGCGCACGCCTTTAATCCCAGCACCCGAGAGGAAGAGCGGGCAGATCTCTGTGAGTTCGAAGCCAGCCTGGTCTACAGAGTGAGTTCCAAGACAGCCAGGACTGTTTCACAGAGAAACCCTGTCTCAGAAAAAAAAGAAAAAAGAAGAAGTCCAGGGGAAGTCTCTAAATGTACTAACCTTGCCTTTTTTTTTTCTTCTTCTGTAGTTCTATTTCTGGCTGGCTAACTGTACTTGTTAACTGAAGTATGTCAACCATGATAATTTTTTTTGTACTTAAAAGCTCATCCTGAGAAAGAAAAGCTTGGACTACCCTTGGATCCCAAACACGCAGTGTAATCAGTCACTGGATGGTTAATAAATACTTTCCATTGGCTTTAAGCCCATGTCTGAGCAGTCTTCTCTGGTGGGTACCCCACAACACGAAACACTCATAACCCAGAAATTAAAACCTTATAAAGCCTGAAGTAGTGATCTATTCCTGTAATGCCAGTACCCAAGTTCTTAGGAAATTTTTTTTTTTCTCATCTTGTGGTAGTGGCCCTCACTTGTAATACCCGCTGAGGCAGAGGCAGGAGGATTCTCTTGATGCTCCATAGACACCTGCCCACCAGGGACTTTTGCTGACTATTCTCAGGAAGCTGTGTGGCAGACAGAAACTCCCCATTTCCCCATTTCCAAATGGGGAACTGGGGTGGGGAAAGGCGTGAGCCAACTCAGGATGCAGTCCCAGGCTCTGCTTGAGTCGGAAAGAGGCTGTAGGGGTCTTGGCAGGAAATTCAGAGCATCAAGTGTTCACCTGAAAAAATGGTGACTAGAAGTCCCAGACAGAGTGGCATACACCTGTAATCCCTTGGGAGGTGGAAATAAGAGAATCAGGAGTTCAAGGTCATACTGAACTCAAAGCCAGCTTGGGAGTCATTAGACTATTTCTCAAATAATTACTATTAGAATTCTTAGTGTCAACAGAATCTTGAAACAGTGGTAAGCAGGACCCCCACACACACACCCTCATACCCCTGCCACACCCCACACACAGAATGCTAGTGTCTGTGTTCAGGATAATCAACCTGAGTTAAAGCTGCAGGTGTTACTGTTACTATCCATCCCCAGGGCATCAAGACCCAGAGCCAGAGATGAAGCAGACTGATTAGATGATTCAGAGACCTTCACAGGTGAAGCTGGATCCTTGACTTTACTGCAGGAAAGAACTTCAGGAGGAGCCAATTTGATGGGGAGGCTGAGCTTATTAAAGGGATTTTAACATAGATTTAAGTGTGAGAGTTGCTAGGTACTCAGGAAAAGGATGAGCCACACCCAAGAGGAATGGTAAACTACACTGTCTTACAAAAACCAAATGGGGGGTGTAGGGTCCGGGGAAACACTGAAGAAAGACCCCAGACTCAAATAGTATGTAAGAACAAAGAGCGTTTGTAGACCCCATGCATGTGGGGTCCTTTACCTGTGCAAAATGGCGATGACCCCGAGAGGGACATGTAAGCTCCCTTTTATGTACAGCTAAGGGAAGTTTCAGGGAGAGCTACATAATTGGTCAAACAGGCAGCAGTTACATTAGTATATCTTTAATTGGCTGAGGTTTAGTCTTATCGTTTTTGGACACATCTGCACAAACGTGGACGTGACTCAGAGGGGGCTGCTGGGTTTGTCCTTGAGACACTGTGCGGCTGACTTAGACCTCTGTGTTTATTCTCTCCCTCGTCCCTGAATGTGAGGGCCTTGTCGATAAATGGCCCTTCTCAGAGAACTGGGACCTAAAAATCAGTGGGGAGGGTGGGAGAGTTGAACCGTCCAGGGGAGGGAGGTGGTGCTGCAGAGATGGCTCAGCAGTTACGAGCGCGTGCAGCCTTTCCAAAAGACCCAAGTTCAGTTCCCGGCATCCACACAGTGGCTCAGAACCACCCATCACTCCAGTCTTAGGGGATCTGAGGGTTCTTCTGACCTCTGAGGACACCAGACACACATTTTTATCTTATTTTTTTGGTTTTTCAAGGCTTTTTCTGCGTTCCTGGTTGTCCTGGAACTCACTTTGTAGACCAAGCTGGCCTTGAACTCACATAAATCCGGCTGCCTCTGCCTCCTAAGTGCTAGTAGTCCATCGTCATGCCCAGCTTAGACTCTACACTATTGATGTAACTAACCGTCTTATTAAATAAGAAACACAGAAACAATGTAAAGGAGAAAGCCGAGAGGTCAGAGCTCAGAGCTAAAATCTCACCCTTCCTCCTGC